CATGGGGAGGACAGGATCCAGGATGCCTGCATCAGAGCCACTGTCTCGCCAAAAAGGGACCTATTTTAAGTATAGCCAGGAGGGCCACTGGGAAAACAAATGCCCCATGTATGGGAAAAGTCCACCATGACCCTGCCCCATATGCAAGCAAAAAGGCCGCTGGAAGCAGGACTGCCCCCAGTCCCGAAGGGGGCTTGCGGCTCCCAAACCAACGATGGCTGAGACGACTAAAGACTGACGGGGCCCGGGACACTTCCTGGCTCCCACAGGACACCGGGTTATTTCTCTGGCAGAGCCTTGGGTAACCCTTGACGTGGCAGGTAGAAAAGTTGTCTTCTTATTAGATAAGGGAACCACCTACTCTGTGCTGACTGCTCTCCCTGGACCCTTGTGCTCCCAATCCTGTGTAATAATGGGGATCCATAGAAGGCCCAAAACAAGGTGCTTACTAAGAATTACTTTTACACAAGAGTTTTTGCTGGTGGCTGAGTGCCCCATCCCCTCATTGGGAAGGGACCTACTTGCTCAGTAAATCCCAAGAAATAATCCCATTCAAAGACCCTTCCATGAAAGATACGCACCCAAAAAAATGTCTTCTCTTGGCTCTGGGAGCCTGCCTTAGTCCCAAGCCAGAAGAGGTCTCCCTTCCACCCCATATTGATTCTCAAGGAAACCCTGCTGCCTGGGAAACTGAGGTCCCTGACAGAGCTACTGTTGTCAGGTTATCATCAGAAATGGGACCATGTGAGGCTACAGGCCAGCCTCTTCAGAGCAAAGGCCAAACCAAGAGCCTTTAATGAAAAAACCTCTCAAACCCAGGAAGGCTCCTCAAAAGTGTTTGTAAATAGATGGCCAAACGGGAGGCCATCAGTTGGACAAAACTGACCATCGCTGATATTCGGAGCCTAGTAAAAATTTTTTGGAAAAGTCTCCCCTAAGCTAAATGAGAAAAAATAAAACTGTCTTCGTTTCACAAATCTAGTCTTTACAGGACCAGAGGTGTGGTTCCAAAAAGGATACAAAGTTCACCAATCCTTCCGCCACTCCCAAAACCTCCCTATGTATTTACCTTAAGAGACAACTATTAAAAAAAGACTTTTTTTCTGGCCTTTAAAAAACAAAGTTTTTCTAGGAGAAACTTGCCTTCCTATGCCTTTGAGATACAAATATTCTACCTTGTCTTCTCGGGAAGCTCTGATCTCATCATCTTTTTAAAATGCAAATTTCAAAAAGGGGTGGGGTATAAATAATTTGGAACTTAATTTGCTAAGGACAAGTGAAAATTTTATCTCTTTCTCATAAATATTAGTAAAAAGGCTTAGCCATCTAGATGGGTGATTTTGATTTGTTCTAGCTGTCAAAAACCCCAGTTTAAATCCAACCTCTTTTGTAGCCAGTGGGTTTTACTTTGTTCTACCTGATTCATGACTAAAATTTTAAAATAAAAACTATAAGGTGTCTGGTTTGTATGCCATAGACGTACGGTATTGGCACAATTAAACGGTAAAAGAGCTCTTTAACTGGCTGAAAGGAAATTAAGTACTTATATAAATACTCAAACATAGAGAAAATTGGTCAGAATAAATTTCAGGTTCACGTTATCCAAAAAGGACTCAGTACTGGTATTAGTATTGAAGCTAGCTTAAGCTTGTTGGTTTAATTAACATACACATGTCTTTAGAGACATCAGTGTTAAGTATAATAGTTCGGTTGGGCCCAGGCTTACTGGAGGTCAAGCAAACCTTTATTATATCTGTTACAATTTTGTCAACAAAAAAAGGAACTCAATGTAAAAAAAAATTCAAAAAGTAAACAAAATAAGAGCTTTAGGGTAAACTCTATAGGCATTTTCTTTTGAAAGTATCTACCTAAAAGTGTCTCTCCAAATTTTGGTACTTAAATCTAAGTTACAAAGTTCACTGACTGTCTGTATCATTTATAAAATATTAAAACATTAATTGCTGGGCAGATCCATGTTTATCTACCTTTGCTTTAGGGAAAAAAAAAACTACAACTTGTTTCCAGTCAGGAAACGGTGATATGACAACCAATTCACAATTGCTTGCTTCGAGGGTTAAAATGGTAATATATGTAATTGAAGCTCCTAAAATAAGTATTTCACTATACAGTAGGAAAGTAAGGTGTATGTTTTCAGTAAGAGTTTCATAAACAAAAATATGAAAAAAAGAAAAGATTTCATACATAATCACAATTTTAAATATCTAACAAATTCAAAAAGTTCTTTGTAGCCCCAGCTAACTTGAAGATGCTTTAAAGACAACCTGAGACATCTCAGCTATTAAGTTAACTAGGATTATTTAATATGTTACGTTAAATATAATCAGTCCTAATTCTATTTATTACAAACAAACTTCTATCAATTACAGGTGTTTCACCATGCCTTTTAAGTCTTTTTGTTGTTACAGACTGTCAAGTGGTTACAAAGGTGCTTCATCTTTAAAAAAATTCATCAGAAGCCAGGGGAAACAGTGGGTTACAACAGTCCCACATCAAATGATGGCCCCTGCCCTCAGCACTCTGGACACAAAAACAAAAGGCTGTCCTGCCCCCGGGGCCCCTAGATTAGACATTCAGAGGATTTTTACTCCCTGACAGGTAGGGTGAACGCCCCTCCTCAGCCTGGAAGTGGTTTCAGAAGATGGACCATCATCCCTCTACAATCCTTAAGAAGATGATGGGAGTAAAATCTCTGAGGGGGGAATGAGACAGGAAGAGGGCAGGGCACAGCCATTCAAGGAATAACACAGCAATTAACACCAGACTGGCGAAAGATTCAACCCCCAGGAGGCCTTGAGGCTCAAAATGGTGGGAGATTTGACTTCTAGTAGAACTTGACCTTCATTATACAACCATTGTAATGTATTAGCAAGGTGAATAACATGCCACAGGCACCAGACAGTCCCAAGGCCACAGCCCCCTCTCTCTCCCTCTTCACACACAGCCCGCACTCTAAGGAGTGTGTGCCTACTTTTACTCTACTCTGAGCGCCCAATCCCCCACATCTCATGGCCTTTCCCTTGCCTCTTGATGGATCTCTAAATAACTCTACCTATACTGAAACAAACAAACAGAAGAGATGATTGGCCCCCAATATAAGCTGAGGTCTCAGGACTGGGGGTGGATGTACACCAATAGAATATACATATATTATGTATGTATATCATATTACATATGTAGATATTATATTATATGTCTGTATTTTATACTATGTGTGCATATATCAGATGATGTACACATGATATATATACATATCCATACACAGACATGTGTATATAATATATATTTTTCTATATATCCATACACTGACATATGTATGGATACACATATATAATAGACATGTTATATATCTCTATATATTAAATGCATACATACATATTATAAAATATATATTAAATATATACACATCCATGGACAGACATGCATATATATATATTTTTATATATATATCCATGCAATGACATGCATATAGATATACACATATAAAATATACATACTATACATATATTATATATACACAAATATGATATACATATCAACACACAGACACAAGTATATAAAATAAATATATCATATATATTCATACACTGATGTGTATGGAAATACACACATATAATATACATATAGTATATGTGTATATATTATATATGTACACATAAGTATATAATGCATACCATATGTAGGACATACATACATATTCATACACAGACCCGTGTAATTATGTACCCTCGTATAATAGACACGATATTTGTGCGGATCCATTCTGAGACCTGTGTATGGGTGTGCACACGATTAAGACACATGACACAGCTGCATTTCGCGACCAACCCCAGGCATGTGTGCGGAGAGGCAACTCTGCTCGTAGACACGTGATAAGGGTGCACTGGGCCTCCACCAGAGTGAATGAGACTACTTAAAAAAAATACTATGTCATCAAATCTTTAGGATCTTATTTCACCAAATCAAAAAATACCAGGAACTGGATGACATTGCAAGAAATCATTTGCACCAACAAGTAATATCCCTCCAAATCCCTGGAGAGGCCGTGGAAATGGAAATTCTCTGGGGAAGATATGACTCAGCCTCCTCAGTGATCCTTGAGAAGATGCTCAAAAGTTCTCTCATGAAAAATAAACCCTTCCTTTAAAAAGTCTAAAAAGTTCCAGTTGCAAAGGGCTATGGAGTCTGACATACTTTAGTTCAAGTCCAAACTCAAGTTCCTCGTCTATAAAATAGAGCTAATATCATCTACACTATTAGATCATGATCAGAAGTAAATGTTACGGGCAAAGCCCCTGAAATAATGGACAAACAATATTAGTTCCCTCTTCCCTCAGTGTTTCTCAAAATGTAGAATGCTACCATTGCATGAGAATCCCTGGGCACTTGTCTGTCACTAAGGTTGATTCCACAATTTCCAGAGGCATAGTCTCTAATTCTGCATTTTTATCAAATATTCCAAGTGATCGTTAGGCCCTCTAAGGCTTAAAGACCATGCAAATTAAGCTATCTTAATATAGTTAACTACCTGGTCCCCTTCAGACTCAGAAGTTCAAGTTTTAAACCCAGATTCTTTGACCCAGTCTTCTAAGAGTATATTTTTTCAAGCTTAGGCATCTGCCTTCATCTCTAAAGCTTCCCTAGTTTCTTCACATATCCATTTAGGAATAAATAAAACTAGACTCTAATCTATTGTGGCTCAAAAAGAAAAAGTTACTTACTAGATGGCCACAAATTAAACTTATTTGAAATTAATAAGATAAAAACAGTCAAGTAAAATTGATAATTCAATTATTTTAAGACAGCCAGTAGGAATGGCACCTTTTATTTACAAGCATGAGAGAATGGGTGTTTCTTATGCCCAAATCAAGAAATACCTGTCAGAGACTTTGATACCTAAGTTTAGTTTTTAATTAGATTTTAATTTCTAATTTTGGTGTGCAATTCAAAATAACAACCGAAAAAGAAACACTCGAAATTGATGGAAATAATTTCCACAACTTTATAACAAATAATAGCATTCTTTGCACAAAAGTCAATTCTCAAAACCCTCAAACTTCAGAAAACAAAAATAAATTTCCTTTTATACACTTCCCCTTTCCAGTTCCAAAAGTATTATTTTAGAATAAGTATACATGATGTAAAATTCAGCTGAATCAAGTAAGTAACAATCACCCAATGCAAACATCAGCTCTATGCACAGATTTTATATATACTGCTTTCGTATTTCCCTTCTGCTTCTTCTCTAGATAAAAGCAGGACATTGTAAATACTCTCATTAGAAAGTTCTGACCAAGAGCACTGGCCTTTTCAAGTAATTCAGAAAAAAAGTGGACCGTCAAGAGAAACCACTGAGACACAGCAGTCTTCAGTGTGTCACAGGAGCCACTGACTCTAAGCCCCGTTCGTTCACCCCGCTGAAGATGGACCGATCGTGCTGTTCATGAAGATGTGCTCCGTTTCTTTTACCAGATAGGCCACGAACACTCCTCTGCCAACCAAACTTTTCCCTTCCAATTAGGTCGGAACATTTTCCACACTTTTTAGCACAGTAGTATCTCCTCCCAGGAGAAAGCGAGTTCAAGCACACTTATTAGCATCTTTGGTTAAAAGAGCAATATACTGTGTAGATGCTGTTAATAATGGTTCTCCAATGGCTATGTCAAGATTGGAAAAAATACTATAGGTAGGTAAATACGAATGTAATCTGCATTTTCTAAGCTCCTTACAAGTCATTATATAAAGTCCAGCTCTTTTTTAAATTTTGTTCACCCATAAACTTTCTGTAGTGCAGGTTATAAAGAAGGTCACTGAATGTGATTCCTCCAGTCCCCTCCAGGGCAGGCTAGGTCTCCAGGGGGCACACAAAGGATAAGAACATATCCAGTTGGTTCTTCACAATAACTTCATCTGGATGTAGCTTGTGGGGTAGATAATGGGCCAAGGTCATCTCCCAGGCATCGACGAGATACACTCCAACCCCTGAGAACATCTTCCGAAGGACGGTGTCCAGCTGGAAGTTATACCAGTCGCTGTTGAAGAGGCTCACTTCAGGTCCCAGCTCCTGGGCATTGGCTGTCCGTATGACGACCACGGTCTTAGGGCTTCGATCCAGGAGCTGGACCACAGCTCGACGGATGTTCCTGAGCCGCCGGATATACACTTCCAAGGGGAAGGTGCTGAAATGAGACCACACAGCTATGGCAACCACTGTGTTCTTCCCTCCCACAATGCCATTCAGCTCATTTGCCACATATCGGAGGTCATTGCTAAAGACGGTCGTGAAGCGGATCGGTGGGCCGTGGCAGCGGTATTTGAGCAGGATGTTGTGCTTCTGGTCCACCGCAAGGAAGGGACCCACATTCTTGGGACTACCCAAGTTAAACTCCACTAAATCTGAAACAAGGAAAAATCAGTCATAAAAATGTTCAAACAAAGGTACTCAGGCAAAACTGCAAAAAGATACTTGCATAAGACCCTTCATTGTAGGACTTAATTCTTC